TACAGCTGGCCTAATCGTACTTATATTGACCAATCTCTTGTAATTTTTTTCTCTGACTCTCCTGAGCCCCTCTCCTCCCCACTCCCTCATTCTCTTTTGAAACACCCAAATTTCCTCTGCACAGATCAGAATGAAGCTTAGGTTTTTTGGGTTTTTTTTTAACACCTACATTTGAAGCATTTCTGTATTTCAAGCTGTCAGTAGTCAGAGAATAAAATCCATTTTCTTTGGATTTAACTAATGTCCAGCTGTGTTGAACTTTGACACCTCCATGCGGAGTCACCTGTTCCTGGGGCTCACCTTCACCCCTGTGCAAAGAGAGTTCTGGAAGAGATCCAGGAATTCCCCCTTTCAACTCTCTTCTTCTAGGGGTGCAAGTCACATAGCCGCTAGGTTGAGGGATAGGAATGAAGAAAGTCTCCCACTGCACAGCCAAATTTCCTCTTCCAAATCACTTGACTTTCAATAGCATTTGGGCACCTGAGCACATACCACCGGTGAGATAGGGCTGAGCTCTTAGTAGTCTCCATCTTAACACAACTATGTTCAACCTGCTTGTTTACCTACACCTAGGCAACCAAACTGAGGGTAGAAGGGCTTTTATCAGGGACAGAAACTCTAAGGAGCAAGAAGGAGAACTGACTTGGAAAACAGGGCACTGCAGGGGCAATGGGAAAAGGCGTAGTTGAGCCCTGCAAGGGGACATAGAAAGAGCAGCTACTGGGCTTGGGGGGGCAGGACGGAAGGGTAAAAGGGCTAAGAAATATAAAAAGGGGGAACATAAAAGGACATGGAAGGTGACATCATTACTTGTTTCCTCATTCGCAATTTCCCTTTTGGCTCAGTCCTGCTCTTCACCTTCCGTCCAGAAACTTAAAGTAAAATGTCTCTGTATTGTACTTTCTTTCCTCTGCTCCCAGCCAAGAAAAGCTATTTATTGTTTTATTTCTTCTCTTCCAATTATTCTGGCCTTGCAAAAAATGTAAATCAAAGGAGGGGGGCAAGGAATTGGTCACTTAATATCTTTGGGTCCCAGTTGAATCATGGGAGTTTTGGACTGGATTCATAGTTCAGCAAATGTTTATTAAATGAATACTATGTCCAGACTGCTGTCTATTTGCTAGGGAAACATCATATCTCCCTCCTGAAGCTTACATTGCAGTGAAGGCAACATTCAAAAAGCAAATTAAAAATAACAAAATTAAGATAAAGTATAAAAGAAGTAGTATTTGATATGGTTGTCAGGAAAGGGTTTCATAAGGTGACAATTGAGCAGGGACATGAATGAAGTAAGGGAGCAAGCCAGGGGGAAGAGAATTCCAGGTAGAGGGAATAGCAAATGCAAAGGGCCCAGGGTAGGAACCTGTTAGCATGGCCGGGCAGCAGTGAGGAGCACACAGTAAGAGATCTGGAGAAGTAATTCAGTACCGAATCATGTAGGGTCTTGCAGGCTACTGTAAGTACTCTGGAAATTTCTTTAATCATGATGAGAATTCATTGAATATTTGAGAGCAGAGGATGACATTTTATTAATAGTAAAAATAATAACTAATATTTATATAGTACTTCGTATGTGCCAGTCTCTTTTCCAATGAACTCATTTAATTTTACAACTCTCTGATGTAGACATTATATTATTAATTAATTTTACAGTTGATGAAACCGAGGCACAAAGAAGTTAAGTAACTTGACCAGTTATATTAATACATTGCAGAATTTGACCTTGAACCCAGGTAGTCTGTCTCGAAGGTCCTTGCCCTCAACGCCTAGCCTGTATGTATTCTGATTTCCATCGATAAGTCACTTAGAAGTATGAGAAAACACCCTGGAGGCAAGAATTTAAAGCAGAGGGCCAATGAAGGGAGAGAGGACAGTGATGTGGGCTGTGGTGGTTGCGGTGGAGAAGAGAAGTAGTGGTCAGATTTGAGATGTGTTTTGAATGTAGAGGAAACAGAAAATTTGCTGCTTTTTTGCAGATGAGCTATGAGAAAAAGCCAAGGATCAATGGCGAATCCAACTTTTTGGCCTGAGCACCTGGGTAAAAGATGGTGTTGTTTACAAAACTGGGAAAACTGGGAGAGGGGGTGGTTTGGTGAGGGGTGGAAATAGGTTTTTTTTTTTCTTTTTGAGTATATAAAGTTTGAAATATATATGAAACATCTGAGAAGATATATAAAGGAAGCAACAGGGTAAATAGAGTCTGGGTTTCAGACTGTAGATTAAATTCACTGGTCATTGTCACACAAATGTTTGAGAATGCTATGTGCCTGGATGTGATCTCCCAGGGAGGGAACAGAGCACGTCAAGAATAAGCTCTGAGTCATTCTAACCCTCAGAGATGATGAAGAGGTGAAGGATCCAACAAAAGAGTCTGGAAAGGAGCAGCAGATGAATCAATGGAAAATGAGAAGTCAAGTAAGAAGGAGTTTGAAGGAGAACCTGATCAGCTGTATCTAATGCTGCTGATAGGAAAAGTAGGATGAAGACTGAGAATTAACCATTGAATTTGGCTAAGAGGAGGTCATTTAATACCTTGACTCTAAAGAGTTAGGGCCAAGACTCTGATTGGATTGTTTTCAAGGGACTAGCAATATTCTGAGGCATATGAGTAAAGATAATCTGAAAAAAGAGGTGGGGGATAGTAGCAGAGGGACGGAGAGAGTAATGCATTTCCCAATACTTCAATCAACTTTAAAATACTTTATTGAGCATCTCCTACACACCCAACACTGTTAGGTGCTGACACTCCTGAGTTTGCAGACTCAGTCATTCATTCATTTAGGGGACAATTTTTCATTGAATGCCTAGTACATGAGTTCTAAAACATTTTTTCTTAATTGTTACAATAACATTTTGACATTAAAGCAAATCTAAAAATTATGCCTGTACTCTCATAATCCCAACACATTAACACTTTTCCACATTTCTTTCAATTACTGGACGTATGTTTCCATAACTTTTACACAAAGTTATTATATTGTAAGCCTTTTTCTTTTGTAGACATATTTTCATAATATGTTAATTTTACAGCAGATATTTTATTGTGTGAATATACAGCATTAGTTATTTCCTCATTTTCCATTCCCCACCATTTATGTTAACTTCAAATTACAATATGTAATAAATGCTTATTTTTCTATATGTCTGTCAGCCTCATTAAGCTATGAGTAGTCCTTCAAAGTCCAGGACTATATGTGGTTCAATTTTGAATCACCAGTATGTGCCGGGCACCCAGTCTTGACTTCTAGGAAGCACATGAGACTGTATAGTAGAGCAGCTAATAACAGGAAGACTCACTGCCTCAGTTCTCATCTTGCATTCTCCACTTGTAGGCTTGTAGCCATGGGCAAGATACAACTTCTCTCTATCTCATTGATAAGTTGCAGATAATAATAGTACCCTATTGGTCATGAGAATTAAATGAGCCGATATATGCAATGTGCCTACTACATTGTAAGCACCTATGTAAGTGCTTGATAAGTGTATTATATAAGAACAAAAGTCCATGCCCTGAATATGTTCAATGAATGAATAATAAATCAAAGAACAGTTTCATTTTTGCTTCGTACAGGTAATTTAAAATATTTTTTTGAATTATTTGCTTTTGGATTCAGTAACAATGTTGTGAGCATGGACTATGAGTCAGGTATCCAGAGACAAATAATCATTTCTTGGGATTAACTTTCATAAGTGATATTAGTAAGTGCAAGAACATGAACATTTCTACAGCTTTGATTACCCTGTTATTTTGCCTGGGTGGGGAGTTAAGCTCCTTGAAGGCAAGGGCACTGTCTGAGTTTTGCATTGCTGACCATCTTTGTAGAGACTGCCACCTGCTAGTTCCAACTGATAGTCCATTCAGCCCCTTTTCTCCGTTCATGTCTTTTTTTCTCCTTTGCCTTAATTGCTTTCTCTGGATCTTGATTTCTTGGATAAATTAATAAGATTCAATTAGGTAACTCTAAATGTGGAAGAAAAAAGTCAAGGAGGTGGTAGTGGGCAAGCCATGTGTGAAGAGACAATGGCCTTTGTAGATGGCCTTTGTTAGGTGTCAAAAATGGGGACAGATGACGACAGTCAGGAAGAAATCACTAGGGACTACCAACAGAAGGTTCGTGAACAAAGAACAATGAAAGTCATTATAAACCCTGTTAGGATGATTATACAGACTACCATCTAGAATGGGAGAGAGCACTTGAGGTCTCCGGCAAAAATCTGGAGAAATGGGGATGAATGAAAGAGAAGTAATATTTTTGAGATTATTTCCTTCTATAACGATTATTTCATTCGTTCATACATTCATTCATTCATTCAATACACATGTATTGGGGGCCTACTTTGTGCCAGGCACTGTGGTAGGCACTGGGTATCTACCCGTGGAAAATACAGATTCAGTCCTGCTGTCATGAACATTTGTTTGTCCCACGACTGTCACCTGTGGGAGCAAGAGCTCCGGAACACCGAAATTAAGTCTGTTTCTTCCTGTCGCACTCTGTGCTTGGCACACGGTGGGCGCGCGCACATCCTGTAGTCTGAATTTTGATTGAGGGCTTTGGTGCAGCAGAACAGCTAGGTACACAGAACCCGCGAGAAAAGGCAGGGTGGCATTGATCTCGCTTCTAAGACCAGGATCTTGCAATGAACGCATGTGTGCATCTCTGTGTATAGTGGGGGCGTATCTTCCCAGCGCGCCTGGCAGAGGGCCAGTCACCCGGACCCACCCTCTCCTCTGCGGGCGCGCTCAAGCCAGCCCAGGCTGTGGCGGAGCGCAGACGGGGCTAGGCGCGCAGCCTCGCGTCGGTCCGCAGGCCGGCCCAGCGCGGCTCCTCCTCGCCGCGGGCGGGGCTGCCCTCGGTGCCGCCCCGCGGCCGCGGCTCCGCGAAGCTCGGAGCGCCGGGGGCTGGCGAGCCAGGGCGGCGGGTGGAGCCCGAGCAGCGCGGCGGCGGCCAATCGCGCCGCGCCGGGGGAGGAGCCCCAAAGGGGGAAAAAGAAAGTGCGGCGGAAAGTAAGAGGTTCATTGGGGGAAGACTGGCCGGATCAGGGTCCCCGGGCTCCGCTTTGGCCAGACTCACCGAAAGAAGCAGTGCGGGGCGACCCTGCACCCATCCCCACTGGTTCGCTGCGCCCACTCTGCTTCCCAAGAAAGGTGAGTCTCTCGCTGTCGTGAGGGCTCGGAGGAATCACCTACCCACAGAAAGGGTGGAAGGACTCCTGAAAATCGTCTCCTTCAACCCTCTTATTTTCCAGAAGGACGAACTGAGGCACAGAGCGAGGCAGCGACTGGGGTAGATCACACAGCTAGTTAGTGCTGTGGTCGGGACTCGAACCCAACTGTCCAGAGCCCCATCTTTGCTTTGTGGAGATTTAGGTACCGCAGTTTGGGGACGGCTGCGCGTTGCTGCACCCCACTTCCAGCCCTTTGAGGGATCTACGTTGGTGTACCCCCGCCTGGGTTTCTCCAGGGCGCTGCTGTGAGCGGGGAGGAAAGAAGAGGGCAGTGTGTCCCAGCGTGTCTCATGCCGCTCCCAGCCAGGAGCTGTGACAGCCTGGGGAAAGGCTGCTTGCAGCTTCACTCCGTCCTCCCCTGACCTGCTTTCTCAGAAAGATGCCCCTGCCGAGGGTGTCTAGCATGCTCCTGGGGAGGCGGTGGCCAGGGGAGGGACGCCGGGGCGCCGATGACTTGGGTTGGTACTCACAGCTGTCTCCCAGCTCCGGGAGGAAGCTGTTGGTCCTGTAGGGGATAGGATGCCCCACGGTTAGGAATAGCTGGCTTCACGGAGCCATAGCCCCTGTCAGTTCTGAGTGCAGGGAGGGAACAAGGAAGCTGAGTTGAAGAGAAAAATCACAAACATAAAAGCAAACTTCTGCCGTTTCCTTTAAGAACCAGTCCCCAGCCTGTCTTCCCTCCACCTCCCGTGGTGAAATTGAGATCCACCGCGCCTCTGGAAGGGCTTTTGCTGCTGTGTTCCACCGAGCCTGGGTTAGCTACCAGCCGAGGAGGAGGATTTACCTGGTTTTGATTCTAGCTCTGCGGAGTATTAGCTGTGTGAACTTGGTCGGGCAAGTTATCCAATCTTTCTGGTACTCAGTTTCCCCCCACCCCCGGCCGCAACATGGAGATTATGAAGATCACAATGAGCCCTGACGGTAGTTGGGAGGATGAAATGGGATAATTCAAATAGTATGTTTAGCGCAGTGGCTGGCCTGGCATCTGGTTAATTTGAGATTGATGGCCACTATTGTAAATACTGTTATACACTAACCCTGGAGACAGTGGATTTTCAGAAAGGTGATTTCATACCACCTTAAAGTGACTTTTTTTTTTTTTTTTTTTAATCTGGAATGCTGCAGCGTTTTCTTATTTGGAGTTTGAACAGCTTTTATAGAAAGTGTTTTCTGAGTGCTGTCTCTATGTGACTTTGATCCTGGATGCTTGAGTTGGAATATAAAATTAATGTTTGTCAGTTATGCCAAGCCCCCTCGGTTTTAGGCCAAGCCTCAAGTCTATGAAGCTCTGGTCTGAGGCATCCTTTATTGGCAAAGAGGGTCTTGAATTTGATGAAAAGTAACAAGACAAGAGAAGTTCAAGTTCCTTCAGTGTTACAGACTGTGCTTTAAGCCTTGTATTCCTGCTGTCTTAGGTCAGACAAGCAACTTTATGTTTTCTTTAGTAGAGGAAAACAGCAACACAATTCTCACGTATTTCTTTGGGATTATGCCATGATGTTGCTAAAATCAGTCCCTCTGGACAGACTTACCTTATTTAAACAAACACTACACATCCCTAGTCTAGTCTTCCTTAATTATTGTTTTTAAAATGAAATAGCTCCCCTCATATATCCCCACGAGGCTCATGAAAATTGATTTTATTCTGAATGACTTCATACAGTTATTTACTACTGTCTCCTGGCTATGCCGTAAGTCCCTGAATTGAGTGTTCAGCATTTATAGTTGGCTGCCTGCTTCCCAGTCCCTCCCATTTGTGTGGGGTATTGATGAGTGCATAGGAGGGGGTGTGATACATCTTGAGGGAAGGGGAGAACTTGGTGGTGCCTCTGTAGGTACCTCCTGCACCAAGCGTTTGCAGGGGATGGGATCACTTGCTTCCATCAGCCTGTTCCGTGTGTATGCATTGTGATGAGCTGGCCAGGATACATCTGAATGCGTGCCTGAGAAATAGGGGACTTGTGGGCAAAAGGAAAATGTTAAAAATAAGGTCAGAACAAGGGGATGGAAGGGAGATTAGAAAGTAATTTTTTTTTTTTGGTTCCAGTTCTTTAAAGAAAGGATACCCAGTTATACCTTTCCTCCTTATCCAGATTATTTGTTACAAAATTCATACATACATATGTAGACAACTTTAAAATTTCCAAAGCATATTCCATATACATTATCTTTCTTGCTACTTGCGATAGCCCAGAGAGAAGGACATGGCAGGCATATTAATGGTAGAAGGAGCTTAGGTTTTGTGATCAAATTCAAATTTCAGCCCTAATTCCTCTGCAGCTAGGTCATACTGAGCAATGTATTTCACCATTTAGAGCTTTTGTTTTATCCAATTCTAAAATGGAAAAGAAAAACCCTAAGGATTCATGCGACGATAGAATTAACTAGAATAATATAAAGTATATGTAGTGAATAGTTGCTCATTAAATGCTCTCTCTTCTTAGCTGGTCTCAATTTTATAGAGGAAGAACTGAGACTCAGAGAAAGGAGAGGTTCCTAAGAGTCACACAGTTACTACGTTTCATCCCTGGGAGTACAGTTCACACCTTGTAACTTCTAGTTAAGGGCTTTTCCCCGTCACACCCCGGTCACCTCTCCAGTGAGTTCTTTAACAACTTACCTCAGTTAAGTTGACCTTATTGGGCTGGTGATTGCAGGGTATCCTTTCTGTCCCAAAGAGGAAATTTCCTTGCTGAGGGAACAATCCGTAAGCATGCTCTATAGAGGTGAGCGGGGCCAGCTGTCAGCAGGGGAAGTTCGAAAGCCCTGCTCTCTAAAGGCAACCTTCCTACTCTCCTGCGTTTGATGTAATGCACCTTCCATTCCTAAGAGGAGGGGGACTGTGAAGACATAAAGTTCAGAATTGTATTATGTATTTCTTCCTGTTCTGAGTGGTTTCTTCCCTCTGTCATCCTTGTGCTAATTCATAGGGTAGTAAGAAGATTGAGCAACAAATGCCATGAGTGACCATAGTGTTCCTTCACTTCTCTCACTAACGCTGTGGGTAGAGGATGGGATTAGGCAGAGTAGGCAGAGGCTGCATTTGCAGAAAAGACCACTCGCTGCTTGCTGGCCGTGCTGATCACTGGTCTGGAGGCCCCAGTCCTCCCTGTGGAAACTGATGGCTGCAGGCTTATGTAGGAAAATGAACAGATCTGTTTCTGGCCCAGGCAATGGGGCCATTTATCCGTTGAGACTCCCCACAGGCCATCAGGTTTCTCTGCTTTGCAGTAAGCAGCCAGGCTTGCAAATGCAGTTCTGAGAGAAGCATTTTGCTCCTTGCTTTTGGCATTTGGAAGCGTATGTTTGCTTTTGCCAAAAGGTATCCAGTTAACGTCATCTTACCTGGCACTGTTAGAAAAGCAGAATGTGGCTGGAGGAAATCAGAGGAGGGGCAGAAGAGAAAAAAAATAAAGGTTCTCTCCAGCACACACACAGTTTCATTTGTTGCTCAACTTTGTCAGGGCTTCTGCTGGTGACACAGATGTAGGATCTGGTGAGTCACTGTCGCCTTGCCCGTGAAATATTAAAGAGAGCCACCTACTGTGCTCTTTGCACATTTTGGAAGTTGTTCTGTGGGAGAAATAAAAACCCCAAAGAATGGGAAAGTTACAGAACATTTGGCATCTGATATTTTGGGAGATTAATTCAGGTTAGCTACTCATTGGCTCAGGTTTGGGTTTTTGTTTTTGTTTTCTTTTTTAGAAAGTAAGAATGCACCGAGGGGGTTGTGGCACTGATGGGGAAACCTCCTGGTAGCCCGACTTGATCTGGCACCTGGGGCTGTGTGGAGTTTTAGAGCCCGACAGGGGCCTGTGGCAAGTTAGTATACTGCGGTGAGCAGCCATCTCTTCTGCCAGGGACGCTGATGCCTGCCCGGAAGCTGGAGTCCCTACCTCAGCACCTTATTCACAGGAGGTATTGAATAAACATGAATGCTTTCTTCTGTCATTAGTTCTTTCAATTTATTAGTCTGTTAAATTGTGAAAATCAAAATTTAATAGCTATTCCCTACTGAATTCCACTGTGGATTGTACTGAGTGTTTTATAAGCCCCACCTCATTCAATCCTTGCAGTGATCCTGTGTATTTTTGGAGGCAGCGGAGGCTCAGAGAGGTTAAGTAGGTAAGAAAGACCTGAGATTGTATGGCTTCTGGACTAGAACTGAGGGCCTAGGCTAGGACTGATGACCCACCCATCCCCATCCTGCCATTCTGAGCCTGGTATTATCTTGCCTGTGACTGAGAAGTCGCAGGCTCTGGGCCTCAGATGGGACGTTCTTCTGCTGCAATACATTGCTTCTTTTCTTCAAGATTCCCTTCAACTCTGAAATTCTGTCTCCGTATCTCTTTGTAAAAGTTGATGCTAGAAAGGGAAAGGGGAATAATGAGAAAATACCCTTATGTTTTATGCCAAGGGATCTATTTTCCGGTGAAACAGAGGAGGGCAAAGGAAATCAACATTCATTGGTGCGTGCACTTCTGTCATTTCACTTAAGCATAAAAATAACTCTCAGATATATATTATTGTCTGCCTTTTACAGATGAAAGAACGGAGGCTCAGGGAGACTTACAGACTTGCTCGAGTTTAGTCAGTTAGTAAGAACTAGAACTGGCCTGAGCTCAAAGTCGTTTGGTCTACTGTACCATGCTTGCTAGACACCATGCCATCAAATCAGAGGACTTGCAGAGTAGATTCAGGAATGTCCCCTCCCTGTGCCCTCACACCATACCACCCCAGCAGCTGTGTCCTTTCCTCCTCTACCTTCCTATGCCTGTTGCTAGAATCATTTCCTCCTCCTTCCCAGTCTGTGGGACCCCTTGAAATGCTTATACCATACTCTTCCTATCTCTACTGTGATTTTCAAAACTTATTTGTTTGTTTTCACTCTGGGCCAGTCATTTGTCCCTTTGTGTTCTT